AATATCTGAACTCCGAACTACAACGAGATGAGACATAGATGAGAACGGAGGAGGAATTTCTCAACCGGGAGTCTTAGCGTGATGGATGTCTGTCCTCACAGTGCGCTATTCCTTTTCCATCAGGAACAGCAGCCTCAGAAAGATTTATTGGCCGTCGCTTTGCCATTCCGGCAATCGGTAAACCTCACGGGATTACAATGTCAGTTGTTTCATATGAGCAAACCATCTGGCTCTCCGTCTCCCCTTCACTACGAGCTTTGTAGTTTAATCGAGAGTACTTCGGCTTGCTTCCTTTCCAACCATGCACTATTAATCTTCTGAGGAACAGTTCATGTCTACAGCTTGTGTCTCAGGATCGCACACTTTAGATCAATCCAGCAGTCATGATATATGCAGACTTGAACACGTAACTTCGTATTCCAGTTGTTTCCTCATAACGTGAAGTATTATCAGGTAAAGCTCCAGTCGCCTCACATAATGCCCAAATATTAATACTTAAAAATTGAACTACAGTGAAAATACATGCGAGTTCCTAACTTCATTTCGAGGCGGTCGCATTCGCATGACACCTGCTTATTCGGAAGTCAGGCCTAGTGCTAATTAAGTCGACTACGCTCTGCAAAGGAGTCTACAGAGATTCCCATAAACAGCAGGAAATTAACACTTGCATGCATATAGCTTTTTCTCTAGGTAAGCTGGCCATTCATTAGGCGCAGAACTAGCGCCTCTCTCGATGACAGATGGCTGGCGCTCTTCGGACTTGGAGAGTGACCTCGTCTGACAGCCAGCCAGGCAACGTTAGAATTGTGTGGAGGTTTCTTTCCTGATGTTGCCGATGAAGAGTCTTCGAGGGTAGGGAGTCCGAGCCAACCGGCCCCCTTTCTTTTTTGAGACTCTTCAGCCTCACCACGCTGTAAGTTCACGTCTTGGCCCAGGAAAATGTATTCATCGACTTCTTTGATCTCTTCATCGTGTAATATTAGTCGTGCCTTCGGTAGGGCATCCTGTCGCGGTGTTTACGTCATTCACCGACTGACTCGCAGTCTGACGTTTTCCCTCGAGCGTTGGGTGGCCGAGCTGTTCATCGTTGGTGTCAATGCCACCCTGCCAGTTCGTCTTTCGGGACACCGTTTCATGACAAGCATTGAAAAATTAGGGGGAAGCTGTGCTCCCTTGTTTTACGGTAATTCAGGGTCGGTGTCGAACAGCGGAATATTAGTGGAGCAATCATAGCGAGCTTCCTTTGGCAATTTGACGTTGATGCAACGGCTGTCGATGCCCCGTTCTGCCAGTGCAGCCCACAGTGGAATTCTTCTTATGGCCAAGAAAGGCGATGCTAAGACTTCTTGCAGATAGGCTGCATCTCAGCTTTGTCAAAGCTTGATGCAACATCCATGCCAGTTCTTGAACGCCGCGATGGTCAATTGGTAAAACGCCAATTCTCGCCTGCATTCTCCGAGGCTACTGCGATCTTCGGCTATTTTCTCCAACTCTTAAAATCGGGTGGTCTCGAAGTACAATGAGTTTGCAGGGAAGAGAGTGCCGGTCCCATGTCTCTTCGTCCTTCTCTTCTGTAGCAAACTCTGTCTCCCGAAATCGCTTTTTCCTCTCTATGATATTACCACTTCGGCTGACTTTGTCCAGCGACTCAGCTCTTTCAATTTCTTGGAAGTCATTAAAGTAACCATACGTGATGACAATTATCCTGTTAAATTCATTAACAGTATTATAAATGATAGAATAACTTTTTCATAATCCTGTGAAAGGTTGTTTTAGGTAATAAGCCATGCTTAATTCTCCCTTACCTTAAAACCTTTAATAAAAAATTGCTGAGGTTGCTTAACATCAAATGTAATATTAGCGTAGTGTGAAAAATTTCCAATAAACTTAATAAGTTAATGCGTTGTTAAGTAATTCTGAGAATAAATACTCTTTAACGTCGGTTAATAGATTACCATTTTATTGCGGCAAATGTTACGTAGAAGAAACAGGGAACACCGTCACTCAAAGAACAAAGACCCATGTGTCAAGCTGGGAAGACTGATTATTGCGGACGAACGTGGGTGAGATGCAACAGTAGAACACTGAGAAGGAAAACAAAGCAGGCCACAGAACAATCGGAAGAGAAAGATCACTTCCCTCAGTTGTCAGGTCACAGCGCATCATCGGAAAAGAAACTGGCTGCTCAGGCGAGTCATGGAGGCGTCATTCATCAGTTCTGCGAAAGCAACCTCAAGTGGGACAAAGGGCAGGAACTCTGCGCAAGCTGAACGAGACTTGTGGCGAATTTTGTCGAAAACTACTTGAGGGACCAAAAACTCGTTTTCTAGCTCCAAACATTTCATTTGCGAACGAGGGAAAAAATTCCGGAAATAGACCTGTTCTTCTTAACGGAAGGCCGGCGAGTCCCGAGATGCGACGTCGGTACCGTTTGATCACGTTGTTTGTGTTGTGTATAAATAAACCGTGTTTTATGCTGTCTTAAGCAGGATCAGCAACGCATATGCGAAATGCTCAACCCTTTACCAGTGCCTGCAATTCAGTCCAAACAATATGACCCATCATTATGGCCGCTTCGAAATTCTGGCTTGAGTGACGGTCGTTGTTAGCTTCACCTCTAGGTCCATCTCCAGACGCTGAAGCGGTGCTAGTTGGTCATTAAGGGTCAGAGCGAAGTGTCACCTCTCAGCGATTCAGTTGCTGTCCATATCAGTACGGACGGATTGTCTCTCTGGAACGTAACGTATCTGTCATTATGCTAGCATGAAACGTCGTAGGCAGTTGGACATTACGTAAATAACTGGCATCTCCCATTATTATATATCTATTTAGTTCATCAGCCTTTGGCGGTTCACCGCTGGCTGAACGCCTCGCGAGATTCTGTCTTCTTCTGAGTTCCAACGAATTTCTTCAACTCCTCTTGCACTGATCTGAAGGTTTTCCAAAGGCCGTTTAGGGTCTTTTGGAAAGCACTCTGGCATCCATGTGGTTCTGCAGCGATGATCGCCTCTTCTTGCCACGTCACCCTGCTCACCGCCGTTTCGACTTCTTTATTCTTGCAACCAAACGCAGAGCCCTGTTTGTGTTTCCGCATGATGTTTCTTGATTTTACCAACGCAGTCCCTGCCATATGTAGTTTGCAGTTCATAAAGGGTTTGTGTGATTCTATCAAGTCCATGTTTTGCATAGACGTGCTGTGTCAGTGATTTCCTCAGGTTTCAAACCTTTCTCACACGCTCCATTCCATTTTTACTCTACGACTGATTTCGTAGAGTGATTCCGTTTTCCAAAGATCGGATGTCCCGCGATTATACATACAATACATTATATACGACTTATGCATTACCATTCTACCTAACATTGCTTGTTTTATGCTGACATAAAGCTTCAGAAATGCAAGATAATTGTTCCGAATATTTTCGCTAAGCCGATAATCCTTCAGAAGCTGAATTTTTGACTATTGCATTCCCATAATTTAAGATAGACTGCAGGATTCATCCACTAATAGATTAACTTCCAATAGATCTAACTTCATACGGACAACGACAAGAGTATTAGATCACCTACGTAGCCGTAAAGGCCAGAAATGGCCGCCCAACACGAGTTCATTAATAAGGCAGAGACTTTTGTCCATTAGTATTCTCTGAATAGAAAATTGAGTAACATGGCATTGTCAATCAATCAGTCAGTCGTATTTGCCTAAGTGACACGATAAAGTATCAAAACTTGAATATAACAAATGAGCAAATGCAAAATAAGCAGTGAAAACGTAGTCACGTGTCTGGCATTGACCAGAATGTGATCCAAAGCAAACGTTCACTTTTCTTGGGATCAGTCGGACAGCCAACGAAACCACTGATCTTCGGTGTGCGTCAGTCCGGCGTATGCAAGGAAGCAACACGGATCTTTGTGTATCGCGGTTTCGAAAGGCACTGGTGGAAACTCCGGCACGACGGAAAAGTTTGATTGGTTAGAACCGAAACGGTCAGAGCAAATATCGTCTCTGTCAGGCATCTGATTGGGACGCTTCCGAACTCGTCGTCGCTGCAGTCGCACATTCTATCAAGTAGTTTCAAAAGGCTGTGGATGCGAATCACGGGTTTCCTCCCTCGACAGCACAAGTAGACCAATGCGGCGTAGGAGGACAGAGGTCGAATGCAAGATTTGGTGAAACTGTGGCAATTCTGAGTCAACCTCAGTGCACAACACCAAAACCGGTCGCCACACCCTGTCAACCGTCGCGTTTGTCTACTGTGTCCAATCCAGCCAAGGCCCTCATAGACGATTAACCGACGCATTATGCGGGGGAGACTTTTTAAACTAAACAGGTATTTGCAGAACTGCATGGTTGGTATGGCCAGTTCAGCACAGACTCCGCCTCCAGGTGTCGCACGACGGAAACTACAGC